CAGTTATACTATCCTCAAACATATTTGTACAGGGCGCGGTTGATAACACCGTTAATTATTAATTTAGAAGAGTCGAGTGATGATGACAGTGACTATTTCGATCAATAAATAAGCAGTAGTAGTTAATAAGTAAATAGTTGTGCTGTAATAAAAAATGATTGAGTACAAAGTTACTTTGTTTTTACTTAAAATAAAAAACTCGAAAGGCGCAGTTGTCGGTAAATGCAAAACTCAGTCCTGCCCTGTGCTTTTACCAGAAAAGGCCCTTTCAGGTAGGTATCGGTGAGCGGGTTTAAGACATCCGGTTGTGACGGCCTATTGAATTATAATGGGAGTCAAATTGGTGTGAAGTCATAAACGCCAAATATGTTTGAGGATAGTATAATATACCGCGCTGGGGTAGATTCTTGGCGGCAGTTATGGGTCTTTAAGAAATAATACATACTTTCCTTTGTTATAAAACTGACTTGGACCGAATCATTTCTCGTTTCTGGGAAACCGAAACCGTCAAAACCAGAGGCAGGTCATTAATCAAAGGTTCTACGACATGCGATCTTTGTGTTTATTGGGTTGCAGTGTTGCCTTGAAACAATTCGAACATTTCTAAGAAAAATTGGATCTACTTTTAAAACATTGGATAAAAGAAAAGATGAAAGAATCAAACGCAATAAATGAATGGCGCTATAACTACCTTCGTGAAATAGTGAAATTCAGGGAATAGGATAAAAGCATTATTACCAACGCGCGGAATTGTATCTCATACGCTAGATCCAGTGCTGTCGCGCCGATAGTTTGATTACAAATATATTTTTCTTTTGGACTATATCAACATAATATAACATTTCAAGATCACAAATCTGTGATCCTGTGGTTGAAAAATTAAAAAGGGCATCGAGTATTATTATTTGAAGCAATATAGTAATATAGAAGTAGTTTTTTTACTAGCTGTAAACACTCCTAGCGACGCACTGGCTACAACCTTGTGGACCAGATCAAAGCGTCCCCGCCACTCGCCGTAAATCACACCTTACTTCAACTGGGGGATTGCAGCGGTGAGATAGAATCCCGCGCACTGATTATTACACATTGTACGATTCGCCTAATCGCGAAAAGAAGAAATTAAGAAGTTTCTTGAAGAAAATTATTTGTATTACGAAGATCACTATAACAAAAAACAACTTCTGGAAGTTCTTCACACAAAAGAATTTAACAAAACGATGGCATCGACGAGGAGGCCGCGGGACACGGTCATTATATCCTTCAGTTACCTCCGAGCTTAACCTGACTGAAATGATATGGTCCATATTAAAATCACGAGTACGTCGAATTAACAACAATCCAAAATTTAGTGCCAGTGTGTTCATTTGCGTTAAAAAATTCGTTTCAACAAAAGAAGAAAACAGGAAACGACAAGTCAGTGAACTTGTTATATATTTTGATGACAGCAGCGACGAAGAAGACCATGAATAATTTATTTTGTTTTAATTTTGACAGTTTGTGAATATATAAATATTTAACCTAATTGTAATACGTTTACGAAAAAAGTCCTAGAAATTTCACTGAACCATGCAATGAAGTCCAGAATTCTAACCTGCGGCGCGGGGCTTTGGTAGCGGCATTTATAACCCGCTGAGAGTGCAATAAAAGTATTCAACTCTGTTTCTAAATATTTTTTAAAACACTTTATGTCTATTAAGAGGATTCTTCCGTTATTTTTCTTATGGGAGATTCTATACATCAGTACGAATACATATCTTGTGAATCATCATACCATCAACAATATTAACGAGTTTTATGTATGTAGAATCCTCAACATTCTCAACCAAAACTAATTGACAAACTTTAAATTTTCGTTCGGTATCATTTCGAAATTAAACCCATAATTAGACAGAATATCATGAGTTTCAATTTTAAAGATTTTATCAATCGGAAAGTAATAATTTACAAAGTGTATTTGTAGATAGGTACTGTTTTGAAGTAATTTGCTCAAAATTAAAACTTAAAATTGTAGGAGTAATAAATAATTCGAATGTTTAAGATCCCAGGATTAAAAACTGAAAATTTCTTATTAGCCTTATATTGATTTACAGCAGTCCCAACAATAGCTACAAACGTCTTACAATTTAGGGCTGGACCGATTTAAGTGGGATTTATAAACTTGCTGTTGACGTTGAAGTTGCCGCTGCAGTTGCTGTTCCCGCTGACGTTGCTGCTAGAGCTGAAAATTGTCATTTATAAACTCCGTTGGCAGTTGCCGTTCGCACAGGCCGCAGCTGTCAAATCCAATTGTGAGGTTACGTTTTCATGTCAACAATGCACAAACACCGACAGAAAGCTACAATGATGGCAGGTTTTTAAAATATCAGGGTTTCGGTGAACAGATGATTAGGTGGTTTAATATTAGTGGGCCTCATTATTTGATTTTGAAATTTGATTTTCGTGGAATTAGTGCTGTCAACCAGAAAAAGGTCCCGCCTACTTCAGGGAATTTTCTTTCAAGTTGACAGCACTGCACACCACCTCAATTTGATTGGTTGAAAACCCAACGTCAACGGCAACGTAACGGCGAAAGATAAAAGTTGGTCATCTCGAACGTCATCCCAACGGCGTGCCAACTTCCAACGGCAACGTCAACGGATGATATAAACAACGGATACGTTTGCTGTATATTTATCTTCCAACGGCAACGTCAACGGCGAACAGCAACGTCAGCGTCAAGTTTATAAATCGACCTTTATGGTGATCCCTTCTGACGTCTGGATAGCGATAATGGGTAGACACATTCTATTTGCACAAAATCTCTAGAAATGTAATTATATAGTTTATAGTATGTCCATAGTTTTTCACGCCGATTACAGAAACTATTTAGTACTTTCCCCATAGATTACCTTCTCCGACAATTTCAGAACTTGCATGTAAGACCCAGCTTTGGACATTTGTTAGATAATGAAAACTATTTTATTTGCTTTATACCAGGTGACCCCTCAAAAAACGTTTGATGCTGTATCTTGCTTGTTTTCTCCCCGTTTTAAATAAACGATACATCAAATAAATCGTTACGAAAACAATATAATATAGCTCATTTGATATGTTTTTTACGGATTGTTTTCAGCACTTGACAGGTCAACTTATTATTATTATTTAATAGCTCTGTATACAGGCTGACTGCGAAATACATGCAAAAAAAAAATGGGGAATAGGTCACAATATGATTATGTCACTGGCAAAAATTCACGGTCCTAAGTGGTAGCAGTGTCTAGAAAAAATTATTTGAAATTAAATGTAAATTGTTATTCGCGCCGCTGGTAATGTTTCGTGACCTACATAATTACTGCAATGAATGGCAGGCGGCTCGGTTTAAGAACCAAAAAAGTAACTTTATCAGGCACTTTTTTAATCGCAACGTGAAAAACAGGAAAAGGGCCAGTGATTCTCGAGCGGTCGTTGAAATCGGTGTCTGGTAGAGTTTTCCAATGCAGAGCGTGTCGATATGGTAATTTGTGTGGGCGAACATTTGCATCAGTGGTACAGCATCTCCGAGATCATGGTACCTTCAACCTCAAACTCACGATCGTGGTCGTGATGGGACAGAAAGAAGAAATTGGATTTTCGCAGCTTGTAGTGCATCCTACATTAAAAGAACACGGTCACATCCATACCATGTTGACAAAGTGTACGGTTTGGAGCCCGCTGATTGTCCACATTGTGTAACTCACTTTTTGTCCGATGGAACTCCACATACTCGTCAACAAGTACGATTTCAAGAGACGGTTTTCGAGAAACGTGTATTGGTTGGATGAAACAATTCGTTTGTGGAAATCAACAGTGTTCAGAAATTATCGAAGAGCTTCAACAAGTGAAAGTGGCAGCCGCTACTCCGGTGTTTTTTTACCTATCAAAAAACCACTTGCGACGCTCTGACGCCTGTATTGCTAGTCAAGGACAACATTTTCAACATTTCTTGTAAAAAGGTAGTAGCATTCTAAGTTGCTCTTATTTCTGTTCCAATAATCCGTCCAATAATCCGTCAGAATCAAAATTACCAAAAAACTTTCACACTGACCTTTAATGATGAATGAGTAAATGAATGAACGAATGATAAGCAGCAAAAAGTCGGTTTTACTTTTAATTGAAACTGAAAGTGTTTAGGTCGTTTTTATTCGAACGTTTTTCCAACTCTGTTTACAAAGTGGCTCAGTGCCTTCGTATCGAGGGTGGTTCATGGGGGTTTTCCCCCATTTGATTTTTAATTTGTTTTTTCTATATTTCGGCTCTACTAGGGTGGGGGATGCCGTGGTTAAAATATTTGCACATATTTCGCAGTCACCCTGTATATTTTTTATTCGATCTTATAAAGCATTTTTGTTCTCTGTGATAAATATTACTTTGTTAATAATAGCGTCTTCCACTGAAAAACGCTGTAAGTTCACTGATATATTTCGAGCAAAATATCCGTCATTTATTGAGACGAAATGAGCAGGAAGTCAAATGTACTGTTTGTGATTCCTATGTGTCTATTGGTCACAAAGGTGGCTCCGACATAGAAAAACACATCAAAACTGAAAAGCACATTAAAAAAAATAGATTGTGTGCATCAACAAGTAACTTGGATAAATTTATTACTCAACAAAGTAATAAGAAAGAAAGTACTGATGCTACTCTTGCATTTCATGTGGTAAAACATCAGCATTCTTACAAAAGCATGGACTGCACTTCCCAATTATTGAAAAATCTATTTGCTGATTACGAAATGGCCAGAAACTTGGCTTGCGCAAGAACAAACACTGAGGCCATAGTCAATAATGTCATCACAACATATAATATTAGAACACTTTTACAGAAACTGCAAGACATTGTATTTTTGGGTTTATCGACTGATACCAGCAATCACAACGCTGATAAAATATTTCCTATAATTATAATCCAATATTTTGATTGGAAAACCGGGATGGAGAGTAAAATGTTATAATTTTCAGACTTGGAAAACGAAACTTCGCGTAGACTATTGCAAACCATGTATTTGAAAAACATAATTTAAAAGAGAAATGAGTATTTTTTACAGGTGATAATGCCAATGTAAATTTTGGAGGTGTTTGCTAGAAGAGGGAAACAATGTGATCACACTAATCACACATCTTAGTCGAAGTTTAGATCGAGAGATAATGGGTATTGGATGTCCTGCGCATATTCTCCATAACGCAATACGACATGCTACAGAGTTGGAGTTGGACGTTGACGTAGAATCCTTAGTAATGAAAATTTCATCACTTTTTCGTGTACACTGTTGGAACCTAAAAATTAAAAGAAGTGTGCAGTTATGTAGATATAACCTATGAGAAATTGTTGTACCATAGGCGAGGTGGCTTAGTCTTTTCCTGGCAATTGAAAGGATTCTTAAATTATACGTGCCTTTAAAGGAATATGACAAAAAGCCTGTGCTTATTAGAAAGTTTTTTGAAAATGATGCTAACGAAATATATTTATTCTGCCTTCATTCCTTGATGGCTGAATGTCATTCAATAATCGCTTCACTGTAAAAAGAGAAAAATTCAATTGTCGAAGTGCTTTCTGCATTAGAAGGAACAACAGAGTCACTATCCCAAAGAATCAAGCATAACTTTATTCCTTTAAAACTACAGGATCTCTTTCAAAACCTGGAATTAAACGAAGAGGACCGAAACGAGATAAATAACGAAATAAAACGTAAACGACACCTTCAAATGTTTTGAATGGCTGTTATTGAAAAATCAGGAGTTACAATTCGAGATTATCACAGCCCGTGTTATGTTTTAGCAGGAGTCCTCATTAACGATGTAGAATTGTTTGAAGAGTTTTGCTGCTAAAAAATTTTCTTAGCCGAAAAATAATGGTTCATGTTTTTCAATGCATGTAATAATATCACTAAAGTCTCAGAGCTGTTAAAGATTCGTCATTATTTTTTTTTCTTTTTGTATTTTACCACATAACGCACATGTTGAAAGGATCTGACCACTGATGACATCTCAGTAGACAAAATAGAGGAACCGGTTGTTTTCAGAATCGCAAGAGCAATATTAATGACGTAATATAACTTCAAAAACCTTACGTGTGAACAAGTGTGAAATCTCTGAAAAACGAAATTTTCTGAAAGCAGTTGCGAGTAGCCAAAAATACAGATGTATTCAAAATAATAAACACACACATAATTATAGTTCGTTGAGTTTTTTTACCAACGGACTTTTTGCAAAAATCAGGATTTTTAACCTTTTAATACCGGATTTTCGACTTCAGCCCCTATCTAGCACTTTCGAGTTGAGTTTTTCTTTACACAATTTTGTGATGACGTCATCAACATTTTTGCACGTATACCAATTTGAATTGGTGCAGTGTAATACTAAAAATAACAGTATTATATTCCCAAAATTTTCTATGAAAAACAAAGTGAGCCGTTCCTGATTTAATCAATAAAATAAATTGACTCATTCATACATTTTTTGAGCCACCTGTGTAAGCAAATCAAAAAAATATTAATGCAATGATAAATCACAAGTAAAAACTCATTATGTTCTGCACATTTTGGGTAGAATTTATTCGCAAAATTTTACGATGATGACGTCATCAATTTTTAAGGGGGAATAAACAGAAATATTTTGATTAACAATTCACCAGGCTTACAATAACTTTAAAACGTCTACAAGATTTCAAAGCATTCGGTTTTGCACTTTCTGATTAAATCAATAAAATAAATTCACGCTAATCATATTGTACATATTACGATTTACAATAACAACAAGAATTTCCAACTTGAAAGTCAATTTTGATACACGCTTTATTTTTATAGTACCCTATATCGGATTTAAGAATTCAGGACATATTTTCTAGAAAAGTTGTAGAATACTGACATGTAACTGTGAGACTTACGATGCAGCAATATAAATCTTCAAAATTCGGCAGTTATTTACTATATTATGATGAAAATATGAAACTTACTTATATCCTGCTAAAATATTCATGAGGGTGCTCTTGCCAGCTCCTGATGGTCCCATAATACCAGTGAGTTCGCCAGATTTAAATTTTCCATTTATACATTTTAAAATTGTTTTATAACCACGTTTACGACCTTCTGATACTGAATACGATAAATCGATAAATTCTATATCCACTGGGGGTCTTTTTGGTAAGTGCGTTAAAGAAATTGTTGGCTTTTTATGACTTGTAGGACTATTATTTGGCACTTTACGTAGAGCCCCAGAACTAGTTATTGTCACAGAAGATGACCCATTGCAAAGATTATTTTGAGATCCGCTAAAACGTTAGTATCGTAAATATCCGTTCAATTTAAGGTAAAGAAGCTAGTCCTACCTTAAAAAAGATGCATTATTAAGTGATTCATATTCCTTTAATTCTTTTGGAGGCGGTGAATAGACGCCTCTAGCGTTATAAGACACTGAATCTTGTCCATCTTCACTTTCTCCCGATAAATTGATTTTTATACTTTTTGGATCACCCATCCCATACACAATACAAGTCGTTCAGGAAAGCATCGATGTAGGTCCAGCACTGATAATTATGTCCTAGTATCCAATAACTGAAACAAATTGATTAATGATTAATAACGTAACCTCCACCAAAAAAAGACCTTAGCTCAATACTTTAAACTAATCATATTACATACAAATTGTCATTTTTCAAGGTATTTATCAGAAATTCATTAAATAGTATCATTGTCTTATGCAAGTTTTTTGCAATCGCACTTCTCAAGCTCCTTTGGCACAACACTAGGTATGGATCTAAATTTACGGCAAATACAAGTTATATCACGTAAAAGCAATTGTGCAGAAGATGCTGAAGATTTCGGTAAACCGAAAAAGGAAGCTCTGTAATATTCAGATACTATATATTCGTCTGTCATGTTACCAATGACTTAAATAGTAGACTTTAGTGAAAATTACCATTGCCCTAACAGTAAAAACAAGAAATGTAAAAAAAAAGAAAATGTTAGCATAAACATCCTCCAAAATCAAGTAGTACATAAACGACGTCAAGCTGGCTTTGTAAATATGAATTTAGGGCTTAGTGAATGATTCGTTCACATTTCCAAAGCCAACTTGACGTCGTTTTTATTTGAACGCTCGTTATAAAAGGAAACACATCGAAATGTTTGTTGCATGAAATCTTCTGACATTTATTATTTTTAATGATAGAATAAAAACAACCTTCAAAATACACTTAAAATTTTAATCAAATTGTACTTTTACAAATTGCTTTGGTTAATTCGTAATTGGACCAGCAAAGTGTTAGTAACACACGTATACTTTACAATTACATTTAAAAATAACCACATAACACAATTAAAACTACCTCCAGTTAAACAAAGATCATCATGGGAATCTAATTAAAAATTTGCAAGGAAACAAAAATGAATGAGTGATACAAACGAATGCTTTAAGAAAAACAAATCTCGAGCACCACAAACTGAACCACAAATTCTTTTTACATTATTTATTAATGAGATTTGTAAAGTAATTGAGTCATCTGAATAACTTCTTCTTGTAGATGACATTAAAATATATAAAGCAGTTTCGGACACCGATGATAGTATTAAACTACAAATGGATCTGGATAATATTTTGTCTTAGTGTAACATCAATTACATGGATGTAAATTTTGACAAATTTTATGTTATAACCTTTTCTAGATCACATGCATGGATACAATTTAACTATAGCGCTGCCACTCTGTTGATTAAGACAGTCTCGGAGGTTCGTGATTTGGGAGTTATTTTTGATTCCAAATTGAGTTTTGTTCCTCATTTAAATTTGACTGTATTTGACAAATCCATAAAAACATTAGGACTTATTATTCGTTCATTGAAGGAATTTTCTCTGGATACAGTGGTTAAGGTGTATATTAGTTTAGTCCGTCATTCCCTTGAGTACGCTGTAGTAGTGTGGTCGCCTCACTACATAACGTATATTAAATTAATTGAGAAAGTCCAATATAAATTCTTGTGCATGGAGAATGGATTTTCGTAGGGAAGAGTACAATTATGAAGATATCAGGCGGATAATTTTAATAGACTCGTTGGAAATCAAAAGAACCAAAATGGATTTAAATCTTTTACATAAGTTATTTAACGGTGCAATTGACTGTCCTGAACTTTTCTCTTTATTTAATATATGTTGTCCTCCAAGACCTTTAAGAAGTAGTCCCTTATTTTGGTGCAAACTTCACAATACTAATTCAAGATACAATTTCAAGATTAGCACATGAAGCAAACTTCTATAAGAAGAGATTGAGTTATTTGGGGTATTAACGCAACACTTCAAAAGATTGCTACGGCATGTTAATTTTTAGTTTTTGAATTTGTATTAAATTAATGATAAGTTTAGTGATGAAGTGGTTCAGAATTGTATGATAAATGTTGAATTAGTACTAGTTTAGTATAACTGATTAATAAGTTGTTGAAGTTTCTTGGATATATCCCGTAATAAAGTATTATTATTATTATTAAATTCCAGAAAACGAAAAAAATGTTTTTATTACATATGCATGGTACAATTTTTCCTAGCAAAATTGAATGATTCGTTTATTCGAGTTTGTTGCTTTAGGCAATTTAGCTCGTGACACTGACAGAAAAATCACTAGCTTGACGGCTTATGATTTTTGACTGTCGATATCAGTCGCAAAATTGCCAAGCAACAAACTCTCATAACAATCATTAAATTTTGCTGGAAAAATTGCATTACTTATGGTATTATATGTATTATGATAAAATTGTTACAATATCTGATATATGAGGTATTACTTTCTGGTTTTCGATCTTCTTTCTGAATATATTCTTACATCTAGAATTGTATTATTTTTTATTATTTAATTATTTGTTTATTTCTTCTCTAACTGTCTTTCTTTTTCTCTTTCCCTATAATTGGGATTACCCCGTTGGGAAAGATTTTACTCATAATAATAATACTAATAATAATAATAAAGATATTTGATCGGTTCGGTAATTTCTGTCTAATAAAAATCGACAAAGATTGCGGACGAACGGACGGACGTAAAGACGGTCAGACATAGAGACGGGAACGGGAGACATATTTTTCGTACTCCAATGGTCATGTAACGTAGAAAACATGAATGTGGTGGCCATTCGTTCAATGGACACAATTACAATACTTCCCTAGCTTACGCTTGGGGAATAAATATAATAAATCAGTTTCCAAAATGAGGATAAGCCTAATGTTACATTATTTTGAACGCAATGAATATAGCATTCCGCTAAAAGTAAAATTTTTATCTCGGTGGACACTTACAGGTTCACATGTCGTTACCGTGCCAGGTTAGAACACTTTCACCGCAGCGGCTCAATGAGAACAGCAATCAAGAGGTTGTATGTTGAGCCTTCGGCTAGTGCGGTTTTTTTTTAATTTCCAGAGTTCACTTTCTCAAAATTTCACGTTTCAGTGTAGTTTATTCTGAATAAACGCTCTCTCTCTCTCGCAAAGGAATCATATACAAAAAATTAGAAGTTCGCGGTCAAAATTTATTGTCAGTAACGAGGAGCTATACAATACACATTGTAAAGCCAAATGATTTGTAAAAACTCCAGCTGATTGTTATAAGCCATAGGTGTATTCTAATTTATTTCCAAATAGCACGTCATTTTCCCTTGTAAGTAAAATTACCTAATGATTAGGTGATCATCTCGAAAAAAAAAACTCAAATTACAGTTCTACACAGAAAGACAAAAGTTAGACCGTTTTATTCCTAGTAGTATTTTATTATACTGTTTGGGTTTGGCAATTTTTTTCTTTTGGAGTGCTTTAAAGAAATACTACTATATCATTTTTACCCAGGCAATATGATTAACAAAATATCGAAAAAATGGTAAAAAATATATTCTAAGAGGCAAGGACTCCTTTCTGGGAGAAGAAAAAGCATTATTAATAGTGGCCCATTCCTAAAGACTTGTAGCCGATTCATGAACGTAAAATAATAGTATTGTTTTACTAGGAGCAAAAGTGAGACTTTTCATGGCGAATCTGTAGGTTTGATGGCCGAGCGCACGAGGCCGGCAATTACAGATGAGCCACGAAAAGTCACTAGGCGTCCGAATAAAACATAATATTTTTTCTGCAAACATGAAATTGGGTCGAATTTATTGGATATGAAAATGTTGAAATATGCATAAAAACTTCAATTAGAGCAGATTTATTTTAAATTCTTAAAGCGCTAATAAGATCCCTAATGTGAATTCTAATGTTTAAAAAATTGGTCGAAAGTTGTTTCGACAGAACGTCCCCCGCTCCTGAAGTACAATGAAACATATCCAGCATTTTCGAGTTGAGTTTTTTCTTTACCATGCTTACAATAACTTTAAAACATCTACAAGATTTCAAAGTATCCAGTTTTGCAATTCTTGATTTATTCAATAAAATAAATTGACTCATTAATTAATTTTTTTGAGTGATCGTGTATAAGCAAATCTAAAAAATGAGGTTCTTAATTTGATCAATAAAAAATTGATCGAAGGCTAGAAGTATAATCCGACAAATCCAGCTCTTTAAGAAAATTATAAAATTTGATTTTACGATTTTTGTTTTGTGATAACAGCTGTGAAGTAAAAACCAGAGGAATAAATAACACCCCTTGTCCTTTAGCAGTAAGTAACAGCTCAAGGGTTTATTTATGTTTATACGTCGAAAGAATGTCACGTAAAAGTTAGTTTGATTTGAATGAGTTTATCTTCTCAAAACAGGGCTAAAATTTATTAATTTAACCATGCATAACGTAGACGTGCGTATTCATCACATTTTCGAGAAAATGGGATGACCCGTTCTTAATTTGAGCAATAAAAAATTTGTAATGACGTTATCAACATGGATAATACTAGTCACAGCACAAAACAAAAGTAATCGCAGCGTATTACCAATGCAAGAAAAAAAAGGAAACGGCCAAGTTCGGCATTGTCGCACTGCTTCGCTGCACGTCTCGTTGTTCCAGACTTAGCCACTGCGCCACGGGGATTTCTGTCCGGTCTTGGTAATAGTTATAACGTCATTATATGTTGTAAACGTTTTTGCGAACATTTGAACATTTAGCGAAAAAACTGAAAGCGGATTCGTACACTACGAGTATAGGAGTATATTTTTGTATATCATTCAAATCATTTTAAAATACAATTCATTGAAATGACGTGATCAAATTGTTGGTGGGGATGATTATCCAAATTTTGGTTAGCATTTATCATTTAACCATCTATGTGATATACATATGATAATATATACATACAAAATTTGACAACAATCAGTCCAGCAGTTTTGGAGATTACGTGTATAATAACCGACGGAAAGATGGACGGACGGAGGGCCGGCCGACCGGCCGGCCAGCCAGACGGACAGAAAAGAGAGACTACTTTTTTCGTACTGCAGGGATTATGAAACGTCGAGAAAACATAAAAGTGGGATTTCGTCCGATGGACTTGGTTACTATACTTCCTTAGCTTACCCTCGGGAAGTAGAAATTCAAAGAGACTTTTGACCACAAACCAAACAGGTAGGAACCCCTCACTTTACTGCTGATGAAGGGCAGAAAAAATACGAAAACAGTCTACGCAGAAAAGGTGAAGTCACTATACATACTCCTTTACAATCTTTAAATATTCTCTTTTAATATATTCAGTTTTTCATTTTGGTGTGAAAATGGGTCAGTGGCAAAGTGGCAAATTTATTTCAATGTTTACTACCCGAGAGGGCTTTTCTTCTTGTTTAATATTCCAATTCCAGCTATTTGAATAAACAGCTCCTATCTTAAGTAAGCCCCTTAAAATCTGCGAAGGACAACCAGTTCCAGCACAACTGATCAAAAATACCTTTTGATTCCATTACGTAACACCTACAAATTTACAAATTGTAGTACTATTTTCAATAGTTTATAGTATTTTATCGTTCAATTGCTTCATATCTTAACATGCATGCTGGGGATAAATGTTAAGCTACTCTTTACCTCGAATGTTAAGAAATCCTTAACATGCACATGTTAAGAAAAAGCCGTGGCAACACTATATAGGTATTTCGCCATAAAATGTCAGACAAGTTTTTATTTTAACTATTTTTCGGCTCTACATTTATTACAAATTTCGTACTCCTTTTCGTACCTACTTCTAGAAGCACTGAGAAGTATTTCTGCAGTTGCTACTGTAACCAGAGCACGGATTTTTCAACAATAATCGGTTCCATTTCGTAATTATTTATGATGAAGACATTTTTTGATAACGTTGACTAAATTTGCTATTTATTTATTATAATACCATAGTTACCCATATGCATAATTTTTAATTTAAATTGGTTGTTTTAGTTTTATTTTAATGAACGATAAACTAATGAACGCATTTCGAGCGAGTGGTAAACAGAGGCTCGAATGTTAAGCCTAGGTTTAACCCTCAAGGGGCAATTCTGAATCAAATCTGTTAAAATTTAAAGGTTGTTAAAAATAAACAACCAATCAGATTTACGAATTTAACTCGTTACTATGGAAATTTGCAATTTAACACCCTTTAATAAATTTAACAATTTTTTTATTTTTTATTTTATTTTTATTTTATTAATTAATTTGATTCATAATTGCCCCTTTTAATACATTAAAACATTATTACTCCTTATAATCTCACTTTTGTCAGGGCAGTTTCTACTGTCATGAGCAAACTGATCAGAAATTTTACTGTATGTAATTATAAAACTTTATCATAGCAAAAGTTTCATCGGATTGACCAAATTATAAATTGGCTTAATTATTATTATCAGACTATTAACGATTAGTTAATTTAGGTTTAAATTTTTCGGTTATTTCGGTGGCAGCAAAAAACTTCTGCAGCCCAGGCAGATTTTTTTTCTGACAAGGCAGTAAAGTGGGACTTCGTATTTATCAATTGAGGTACCTAGTATGCATGTCCCTCGTTTCTAACGTTTGAAGAAAAACCAAATTATCTGATGGTCACTGTGTATACACCACTTCTAGTGGGTAAATGTTCAATTTTCAATACACGAAACATTATGACGCGCAAGTCAGGAATGATTTTTTTAATTGGAGTTAATAATTTCATGAATGAATAATCAAATTTTTACTGTTCAATTATAAACTGGTATTTAATAATATTATTTTGAAATACCTATTAATTTATCAACATGACAAACAATTTTTACAAAATTAAAAATGCAATGAGCAGCTCTCGTTGTTTTCATCCAACACCAATGATGAAGTAATCAAAAATTTGCAATAAATTCAAAAACCATATCAACTCAAAAAAGTATCTACATCACGATAAAATTGCTAAACTCAGCTCTGTTTTTCAACAATATATATTTATGGATGAACATGTAAAGTAACTGGAGAAAGCGGAATGACAAGCACTCAGATACCTACCGTTTTACAAAAAAGTTTTAACATCTAAGTCTTAAGGATAAATTTCAGAACACCAGCGATGATCTCAGTTTCTTTATTCACACACTCAATTGATCACTGTGCACTAGGAATGACCTTACTTTAGTGGATATTCGAGTGACATCAGCTGTTAATACCACTACACCATGTCGTTGGCTGTGCGAATTGCCAGCCAGTAAAGAAACAAAGACTACATTCATTAAGTCAGAAAATTCTTTAACGATTGCCGCACGAAAATAACTCGTACGAACCCGCGGTGCAAGTGTACCCCGACAGCAGTAACGACCATGCGTGAAGTTGTTAAAGGCGTATTACCGTTCAAATTGTACACTATATTCAACCTTATTTACCTTCGTACTCACAAACTTTGGAACGAAAGGAACTAAAACATCGATTTTCTCTCTTCCGCTAATGGTAGAGTTCGTCAGGTTATAGCTATAGCTGATTCATTGTATTGTAATTATTAAAAAATTGATCAAGTTTCTATCGACAGAACTCCCGAAGTTCAGACCAACAAATTTCGCTCCTTTGAAAAAATTATAAAATTAAATTTTACGATTTTTGTTTTGTGTATAGGTCCCTCTAAAAAGTAAAAACCAGTAGCGTAAATAACACCCTCGTAACCCCTGCGCCGCGAATTGCAAGGGGGCGTGGTTCGCACAACTGATATTGTAGTTTGTTTTAGAGTACTCAGGGTAGCCCGGTAGCGTCTCAGTTGTTTATTATGCAGCGGAAACAACACAATACAATTGTACGGACGTTTTAAGGTGAAATTCCAATGCGACGACTGAAACGACTACAGCCGCGCGGTTATAGTCGTACGCCACTGCTATGAGATAAACCAATGCAATGGAGCCCTTTCCTATGGCGCGACTGTAGCGGGGCACGCTGAGACGACTCTAGTCAGGCGGTTTGAGTCGGACGAATATAACGACCTTAATATTAGGGATAAGCGGATAAGGTATGGATAATAATAATTTTCTAAATACAATTAAAAGAGGTCTCTGTATTAGAATTGTTTGAAAACCCTCTGTCTGTTCCTTGACAAGGATATCGGGTTAATTTGGTTATTATCGTGTGGTACTTCTCTTCTTCTTCCTCTAGAAGGAAATATGCGATCAACAGTGATCTATCGGTTATGTTGCACACGACACAACTGATAAAGGCATTCCCACAATGAGACGACTACAGGAGTATGCTAGGTAGTTAAACAAGCGATTTTTGTCGCGCGGCTCCGGGCGCACGGCTTTGATCTCGCGGCTCTAGTCGTCTCAGTCGTCGCATACGAATTCCACCTTTATAGACTTATAGGTGCATATAAGCATTAAGTATATTTGGCCATGTAACATCAACCAAAAACTCAATCGGCGGGAAACGGAGTATTACTTATTAGTGTATTGTGTATTGCCGGTTGTCCTGATACCACAGATTACGTAATCTGTGCTGATACAGCGGCAGCTGTAATTTATATTGTTGAAACCACAATCTCAGGCAAAATCCAAAAAAATAAAAAAAAAAACGAAAAATCCGAGAAATCCAAAAAATCCAAAAATCCAAAAAATACAAAAATCCAAGAAATCCGAAAAATCTAAGAAAATGCAAAAAAACCCAACAAATCCAAAAAATCCAAAAAAAAGACTACGACTACTACGAACTATAACATTTTATCTGAAAACTACTTGTACATTATTATACAAAATTAATCTTATGCAGCAAATCTTTCACACCTTTTTTTCATAAATCTTTTTATATTTTCCTCCACTTTTGTTTTCTTCTTGGAGAGATCATTGCGTTTTAGATTGTGGTTGTGTTCTGACTCCCGACACTTCAAACGGAAAATCGGCACTGTGAATGGAGTGCATTGGAACTCCATCCGTCCGCAGTGTCGGTGCTGGTGTTTGACGAAGCCGCTGTTGCTCGTGCTGTTGCTGTTGCTGCTGCTGCTGCTATTGCTGTTGATGTTGATATATACATTGCGGAAGAAAGGTAAACTTTTGTCATGCGCCTACAAGCCCTCAAATAGTGAGGGCTGAAAGCTCCGGTTCGGAAGGCGTCTGCGATGGTGCATCTTCGATCCTTCCAGGCACGTAACCAAGGGGGGGCCTGGGGGGGCATAGGCTACCCCAGCAAAACCCTGTGCCACACCTGGTGCCCCCTTAAATTAATTTTAAATTTTAAAAGTAAAGCAAATTCGAAATTTCAGATCAACAGTAAATTTTAGCTATGAGTAATCTTATGTTCCTATCTTGTAATATAACTCTCTGAGTAAAGCGATACTGCTGTGAACAGTTTTGTCGATAACTTTTTTAAGCGATAAGCCGATACAATTGATATGCCTTTTACACACTATGCAGATTGGCACGCAGGGTTTAAACGAGTTCGCATGGTGTTAGTCAATTTCAACTATTTGCACTCCATTAAGTTTATGTACTGATTGTGATCCAAGTAAAATGTTAATTTATACTAATGAAGACTTTTTTTAAAGGCCCCCTTATTTGAAAATAGTGCCCGGGCTGGGGCCCTCCCAAATAAAAGGCTGGTTACGTGCCTGGATCCTTCCCATATTTCAATCACCAAACTGGACGTTTCTTCCGTTCTGACTTTAATTTTTTCTGCTTTCTCCTCTGTCAAATTGCAAAGCCTTCCCAATTTTGGTAAATTTGAAGGCTACTGTAAAACAAAATAAATAATTATAAATATTTCGACGTTTTTGAATTTAAAATCATTGTTAAAAAATTGGTCGAAGGTTATTTCGACAGAACTTCCCTCGTCCTTGAATTCAACTCCAGCTTTTTCGAAAATCATTTGATTTTGCCAAATTTATTTTTTTATGATAACCCTTATAATTTAAAATAAAGATATACATATAAATGTAATGTTAAAGTGAAGGTAAAGAAGCGTGCTGCGCATTTATTTAAGCAAGTTTTTCCAACACAAAATTTTGTGATGACGTCATCAACATTTTTGCAAGGACCGTATTAATAGTTTGGATTGATGCAGGGTATAATAATACTAATAACAACAGTGCAGTGTTGCCAAATTATCGGGACAATGAAGTGAGTAGTTCTTAACTTAATCAATACAATAGCTAGCCCCACTCCCACTCATTAATTTTTTTGAGTCATCCTGTATGAGTAATTCTAAAAACTATGCGTCCACTGCTAAAACAATAAGTATAGAGTCATAGTATATATTTTGCAGATTTTAAATAGAATTTATTTCGAAAAATTTGGGATGATGTCATAATTTTTTTGGGGAGGGGATAAACGAATAAATTTTAAGGATTTACCATGATTACGATAACCTTAAAATGGCTGCAAGATTTCTGAACATTCAGTTTTGCTATTTCAAAGTTAAATTGCAAAATGTTATAAATTTTCATTTTTTTCTAAAAATCTACATGTCTAAGGGGAAAACGCAGCACGAAGTCATACACAAGTGCAGTAATAACTTGTTTTATAAAATTGAAAAATTTTATTTAAGTATTTTATAAAAAATTTGGAGATAACGTCATCCCATTGGTGGTGGAGATGTTTAAGCAACTTTTGGTTAGCGTTTTACCGTCTATACACTATTTCTAATATACGCATAAAATTTGATAACAATGACAAGACAACATGAAAGTGGCAAGTCGCCCGATGGATTCGATTACTATACTTCCTTAGTTTACGCTCAGGAAGTCATATAGATGTATATGTGTAATATCCTCGGTCGAAAATGATAATGACCAGAGCCATGAGCCATGCACTTTTAGTGAGACTCCCACCACTTTACTTCAGTAACGCGCATGTTTCGCTTTGCCCATCGCATGGAGGAAGGAATATAAAGGAGGGAGTGAGAGCTCAAATAAGTGATTCCGCGCCAAAATGCGTGAAAGCAATAAAAAACGTTTCAATATGGCTGCCGCTTCGGTGGCGTATCTTAATAGTATTCATAAAGGGCCTCACATCTCAAAATTATATTCACTGAAAATATTTTTTTTTTTTAGAATATCTACTAAAATTTGAATTTTACTCATAGCAATTTATTTTGTATATACAGGGTGTCTCAGAAATAAGTACATTAATTTTAACCAGTAGCAGAACCTGTGAAACGGAACAACTTTTTTATCTAGCATTTTTTCGAAAACTCAAGTCGAATTTCGAATTTTCCCACCCATATATTCACGAGCCGTCTATGTTCACCTTAAATAATAACTTAAATAATAGCAACACTACAACAATGAAGAAGGTACCGTAGCAACCGTTTTGACACTGACAATCATTTTTATGTCAATGTTTTTATTAAACGTTGTCTCTTTAAAGTTTGTTTGGCACAGATTTCTAATTTATAGACGAAATGTGTTGAAATGGCTTTGTTTTCAAATCTGGAATGCATCGATATCGTTTTAACGTACGGTGAAGCTCGGGGAAACGGCACTCGCGCCCAAGGAATTTTTTCAAAAAACCTCCCAAATCGTCTGCCAAATGTGCGCAGTTTTAAGAGCGTTGCAGCATTTTCGAGAGTACGGATCTTTTAAACCTGCACCTCAGGACGTTACGTAGTAATAGAATTGCTAATATTGAAGAGACTGTTTTGAAGAGTGTCGAAGCTCAACCGAGCACTAGCACGTATCACTGTCTAGTGTGATGTATCGGAGAGTAGTATTTGGAGGATACTCAGAGAACAAATGTACCCCTTTCAGGACCAGAAAGTTCAGTTATTGAAACTAACAGACTTACCACATAGGCAAAACTTTTGTGAGTGGGTTAATAGAAAAATAAACAAACAAGCAAATTTTGTATCTCTTATACCATCAACTGATGAGGTCGGTTACACGAGGGAAGGTGTTCAACACCCACATTTGGGCCGTTGAAATTCCGTACGCCATTAGGGAGCAGGATTTTCAATTTCTCTCTAAATGTTTGTCACATTGACAAGATTAGGAAAATACGTATCCTAGTAACTGTTTTTGACCATAAATTATTAATTATAATAATTATTAGTGTCCATGGGTGACTGAGGATGCATGGGCGGGTAACCTTAATTGGGGTATAACTTTAACAATTTTTAATTTGATAATTAAAAAGTTCTTGACAAAACTCTACTAAGAAAAGTTGTTGAGTTCAATGAGCTCTATAACTGATTAAAATTAATGTACTTATTTCTGAGACACCCTGTATAATATAATCAACAAAAAAACCCAAATTCACATCAAAGTTTGAATTTTTGCTATATAATTATTGGAAGATCTTTGGAATAATAATTTAATTGGAATTTAAGAAC